TTTTTTTTTTTTTTTTTTTTTGGGCCCCAAAAATTGGGGGGGCCTTTTGGAAACCCGGCCCGGGGTGGCCCCCAAAACAGTTTTCTTTTTTAAGAGGGGGCGGCCGGCGGCGGGGCCATTAAACACCTTGGGCCAGGGTTTGGTTTGGGCCCCCCCGGGCGGTGGGCCGGGGGGCCAAGCCCGGGGGGTTCCGGCCCAAGCCCGGGGGGTTCGGGAGTTTTAAATTCGCCCCCCGGGGGCCTTTTTGGCCCCAATAAAAAAACCGTTTCGCCGGGGGCAAAAAACCAGGTTTTGCCAAAAAAAAGTGGGGGGAGCCAAAATAATGGGGGGAGCCAAAAGGGGGGGGGTTTTCCCCCCTCCCGGGCCTGGCTTTCTTAGAATTTTTTTCTTTCCCCCAAAATTTTGCGGGGGGGGGGGTGGGGGGGGGGAGGTGAGAAAGAGAAGCAACGACCAAGAGAGAGTCCCACACAGCAGTACATCGTTTGTCGCAGTGGAGAAAATACGAGACAGCCAGTGCATCGCTAGTGTCTGCCATCTGTTACATGCATACGAGACTGCTGCTATCCTACTTGTCCTACAACGTACTTAGTTTTAGAAAGTAAATCTCACAGGAAGACTATCCGTTCGAGATATTTTTAACCCAGTCGAAAGGGATGTGCTGAAGTCTCTACAGCAGTGAGCAGAGGAAACCGGCTGGAACCTATTGTTCATCTCCCAAAGAATATCGTTCAAGATGTCGAGACGTTGGGCATTGCCTCCAGCGGCCTACCGGAGGGACAAAAGAAACCCGATCTTTTTTTCTTCGGCAAGGCTCTCATGAGCTACGAAAAGAGCCCGCACACATTGATTCATCCGGTATGGCTTTGCGACCGACCAATCACCGCTTGCTGTGCCGAAAAGACAAATTCGCCCGCCAGGCAAAAGCCTAACACAGGCAGCACTTGTTTGAAGGGGTTGCCCGCGGTAGACATGGCTTACATGCATCGAATGCATACCAACGACAGCAGCAGCAGCAGCAGTGACAAAAAGACCCCCAAAAAAAACAGTCATAAATATGTACGCACAAAGCATAGAGAGAGAGAGAGAGAGAGAGAGAGAAGGGATCGACAGCTTGAGCCGCCTGATGCGCAGCAGCTGGTCTTGTCTCGAGCGGCACCCTACTTCAGGCGTACACCAGCGCAGGGCCAAGAACAGCAGGAAACCAGGGGCATGCCATACACACACCAAAAGGGCGTGGAGGTGTGACAGAGCAGGTATCAACTTAGTATTGCCGACGTTCTCTCTCCCTACAATATCCCGGCCGATTTTCTCCGTTTCACGAAAACCATGGATTTGCCTCAACCTTTGTTCGACGGAGCTAGATGTACGTCTATTCCGGAGGGGGCTACGCCGCCGCATACTACGTGGGAACAACCCCTTCAATCCCACGGGCGTCATCAAAACAGGCATGCGTCTGCTTGACGGTGGTGTTGTTGTTTTGTTGTATAACTCTGGAGTCAAGGATCACACACACCTTGACATTATCCAAGGCCCTCGCTGCTGCTGTCTTGACCCTAGAGGCGGAAATGGGGCGGGAGGATGTGGCCAGCACCTTGAGCGCCTTGTGCATCGAGGCCGCACCATCCCAGTCGTCGTTCGTCATGGGGAGTACAGCTGTTACACCTCTGTCGTGCCGCGCTATCACTCGACCCCACGAGCAGAGGCGAGACAGAGGATAGAGCGAGGGGGCACGCGGTCAATCGAGGAGAAATGCGGGGACCATGTCGGAAGGATGCTGCGTTGCCCCTGAACATACTTCATTTTTGAGCAAAGGCTATGACATAAGGCTATGACATATGTCATAGCCTTTGTTTTTGAGCACGCCGCTGTGCGCTGTGTGCTCGCGAAATTGTGGCTAGCAATCAACAACAGTCTGGACCTGGGAGAAATGTAACCTCCTGCTGAGACCACTAAGTCGTCTCCTTTCGTGTTCCAACTGTCCCAGCCCGCATGGCAATCTCCGGGCCCCTTTGTCTCTCTTCTCTCTCTCTCTCTCCGGCCCTCTCCGAAGCAGCGCCTTGAAATAAATGTGTGGTACTTTTCCTGCGGATCTTATCGAATCGATAGATCGAAAAGGCTGGCTGCAGAATACATACCACCCATGTACTTCATGTTGTAAGCAATTTAGGGGAGGCAGCCAATGATGGGGGGACACAATATCCTCGTTCCATTCGATTCACCAAGAAGTGGTGAGATAAACGCTCTCTGAATGTTGACCCGCCCAGCCGCGTCCCCCACACAGGTGCATTTCATAAGATTCACGTTGCCAAACGGCTGAACAAAACATGAAAAGGCGACATTTGGTGAGCAGGTATATTCGTTCATCCGAAACCGAGTATACAGCAACAAGAAATTTGCCACCAGGCATTGTGGATTGCACCCCGTTTTGACCACATCGAAATCGATGCAAGGATTCCGTACGGCGAAAAAGCCGCATCACGAACAAAAGTCGACCCTGGTCTATGGCTACCTACATAGTGGTCCAGGTCAGTGTGCCTCTCAATAAAAGTTCAATGCCCGGGTCCGTCAGGCTTTCAACCCACGAACACATCCCACAGTACTTCTACGGAGTATTCGATTTCTGCACTCCATCAACCTGCCGCCATACAAAATACAGGCCTATACACCGGAACGATCGGCGGCGCTATAAAAAGATGGCCGGTTGCGAAACCTTGGCACAATATGCATGCATGTATGCGGTACACACACGGGCATCCATTGAGGCGTTCTCATGAGTTGCGCCCTCGAAGCAGCCACCAGACAAGAGAGCACACACGAACAGCAGTCCCTTCGGGTCATGGCGTGTGGATAACAGCAATCAATCATATCGGCATCCCTTTTCACGGAGCAACGACATGGCGGCATCGACCAACCCGGTGGATCCAATAACCCGCCAGTTCTATCGTCCTGTACCGTAGCATACTTTTTTCCGACATCGTGCATGTGCTGCAGCAGTAGCCTGAGAAGACAAGCAAGCACACAACGAGCACACCTCGGGTTTAGTCTCCGCAGCCGAGAAATGGAGCAATCTATTGTAGCTAGGGACCTAAGCTACGGTCTCATGACATCAATGGCCTTTCCAAACTCTCGAGATACTTACATCGCGGATGGCTTGGACAGATGCAAGTTTTTCGACATGAAGTCGTATCTCCTTTCCCCAAGCTGGAGATAAAAAACCACGCGGCGGTACCGCCACCACACAGCGGCTGCCATATGTTTCAACCAAAGACACGTCCTCATCGTGAACAAACAGCCTCTGGACTACGAACATATCCCGCACCCAAGAGGCATGTACCGGACGATGGCGAGCTCCCTATGCTGTCCCCTCTACCCCGGCCAGCCAGGAAAAACGAAAGAGTCGGAAACAAGCAACCCAACAACAACCAGGGTCCAATTCTGTGTGCACGCGCGGATTCAGCAGCGCGAGTATTCCCTCGAGCTCCAACGCCTCTTACAATGCTCGGGAAGCATCTAATCGATTTCAAGGTACATGATCAGCTGCACAGCTTCTCCCCCTAACCGCACACTCGGCAACAAGAGCGACACCATCCGGCAAGACAGGGGTCAGAGATCCGTCGGCCGTTGGCCAATCATATCGCAGCAGTCGCCCGCGTTCGCGTCCGCAGTGTCCCCCCCCCCGCCATCATCGGTCTGGATTGAAGTGACCCTTCACGAGGTCCACCAAAGAGAGGGCATCAAAGTTCGACCACACGTTGACGATCTGGGCAGGGTCGACGATAGGCGGGAAGGGGGAAGGGTACTCGCCCGTTATTTTTCGTCGTTCATTTTACCACGGGACAAAGCAACGGCTGCGACTGCACCTGCACAAAACCGGCACGGTAACAGAGGCGAAAAACGTCGCATCTCTTGTTTGTCATAC